AGAGTAGTGACTTAAATTGAGCTATGAAGAAAGAAGATGTTGATTATGAGAAGCGTATTGATTATCCGGTGAAGTGGATGTCTTTCCAAGACGAGATTGAATCGTACGGCTATAAACGCAACGGAAAGAACAAAGATCGAAGGCGATCAATATTTGAAGATGCAGCCATATAATAATAATAATTCGTCGTCTTCTATGGAAAATGATCATCATTTGATCAGCAGCAGCCCAATTAGGGTTTGTGCTGATTGCAGCACAACCAAGACTCCTCTTTGGAGAAGTGGTCCCAAGGGCCCTAAGGTAATTACACCAATTTTTTTTTTATTTTTTTTTATTAATTCTTATGATCTTATGAATTTATAAAGGTATATTATTTATTTATGTATTTATTTTTTGTTTGGGCAGTCGTTGTGTAACGCATGTGGGATTAGGCAAAGGAAGGCGAGGCGGGCCGTGGCGGCTGCTGCAGCTGCAGCTGCGTCTGCCGCCAGCGGCGTGGTGGCTGATCCGCCAACGCCTCCGGCGAAGATGATCAAAGTGCAACATAAAGAGAAGATTGGGAAAAGTGCAACAAATTCATCACTGATGAAGAAACGTTGCAAAACGACGACACCGGTCGATGCTGACTCGTCGTTAACGGACGAGTCTAGTAATAAGAAAAAGAAGATTGGTAATAAATTAGAGGAATTCTTGATTAATTTGAGCAAGAATTTGTCGTTTCATCGGATGTTTCCGGAAGACGAGAAGGATGCCGCTATCTTGCTCATGGCTCTATCTTCTGGCTTGGTTCATGGCTGATTTTTATGACATTTAATTTGTTGTTGTTTTTTTTGGTGAGCTAGCTTAAATATAAGGTATTTTCAATATATAGGAATAATTAATAATAATAATAATAATAAAAATTAAATAAATTAGGAGAGTAGTCTCTTAGCTTTTTGTGTGTGTAGGGAGATCAAGTTAAGTGAGTGAGATTCAATATATGTTTTTTTTGTTTGTTTATTTCCATATATTTGGACAAGTTGATAACCTAATATGGATCTCTTGTTCAATAATATATAAATTATCGAGTTGTACGTGTGTGCAAGTTAATCAATTATTTTCATTATTTACTACTGTCTACGCAATATCTATTACTTTATAATTCCAATATTCCAATGATTACATATATTTTGAATTATAGATTTATTAACTTTGCAACACTATTTCTATATTAATTCATAAATAAGGGTGCATTTTGATCTATCAATATGTATTTTTCTAAAATCAAGATACATTTATTGAGATTCTTAAAACTTGTATCAATGTGAAAAAAGATACTTATTTAGAAATTGAGGGAGTGCCTTGATTCATCTAGTTTTCGTTGTCGTTATTATTATTGATCGATATTATTTTACTGGATATATCTAAATACTCTTGTAAGTCTAACATTTTATGTAAAAAAGAAAATCTATATTGATTTGGAAAATAAACTTCTTACAATATATATATATATATATATATATATATATATATATATATATATATATATATATATATATATATATATATATATATATTATTTTATGGAAGAGCTGAACTCGAGAATGATTTTCACCCCAATTTTGGACAGCAATAATGTATTGTAAAAAATGGAGTGTGGACAAATATATGTATATATATATATATATATATATATATATATATATATATATATATATATATATATATATATATATATATATATATATATATACATATATATATATATATATATATATATATATATACACATATATCTTTGTGAACACTCACCACTCCTTTTCGCGGCGCGCACCCTCTCTTCTGTGTGTGCGAGAGACAAAATTTCACACACCGCGATATATATATATATATATATATATATATATATATATATAAATTTTATGTGTGTGTGTGTGTGCACTCTCTGTGTTTTTTTTCTCAATGTGGAGTGAGGGGGGGAGTATATATCTCTCTTTAAAATATATATACTCACATATATATTCTCACACACAATATATATATGTGAGTGTGTGTTTTATAATGTGTTTATAAAAAGAGAAAACACACACCCCCCCCCCCAACTCGAGAGAGTGTGGGTGTTCACGATTGTGTGGGAGTAATATTTAATATATTTGAGATTTAT